TAGTTAGCTACCTACTTAATATGCAAGGGCTCACGTATTAAAATAAAAATCTTAAGACGCAGATTGTTAGTTACAAAATGTTTATAAACAAACAAAATTTACACTGACCGTCTGCGGACTAGACCCGACTAGACCTCGACTAACAAATTGCCCGGTTTGCCACCCCCCCCAAAGAAAAAGTATTCAGACACTGAATGAAAAGCGTACATTTTAATTAATATATGTATACTGTGACCTACATATAGGCAGAGCTGTATTATTACTAAACAATAAATGCTTCATGTATGTAGTGTCCGAAATCAGTCGCAACACAAATATAATGAAGTGGTCGGTTATAAATAAAGACTATTATGACTTACATCGCGTCTGGTAAACTCATCAGACACGCAACCCACAGATTCAGATCTTTAGGGTTGGCAACTTTGTATTTTGTATGCAATGGACGGCAAACAGTAAAGTGACCTGTAAGCGACTACAACCGCCCACAGACAACTTTTTTTTTAAAAGACGACTCCCGCATTAGGAATATGTCCTGTGTCGCGGTAAAATTTACAAACATACATGAAACGGACAATGAACACCCAAACTCAGAACAACAATTTGTGGATCACACAAAGTGTCGACCCATGTGGGGTTTGAACCCACAATACTCGGAGCAGTAGGAAGCGGCGTGGCGAACGCTACGCCGTTCGTGCAGTCATTATACATATCTTAATTGATAGATAGCCATTTATTGAATTGATTCAAAAGTAATTCGTTATATCCATCGATCACTATCATCAACAGCCTTTACTAGTCCACTGCTGGTCATAGGCCTCTCCTTAGAAAGGAGGTTTTGGCCTTAGTAGCCCAAAACGTCTTTTCTAAGGAGAGGCCTATGGTATTGTTACCACACTAGCCAGACGGGTTGGTAAGGTTGGATTGTTTCAAGTTTTACTTCTCTTTGCAGTGCTATTGTCCTGCTTAGCTTGCTCCCTTAATTGGCTCTTACGTCACCCACGGGATGATTAGGTGCGGTGACACTCTGTATTCTTAATCCGTCACCACACGAATATCCATCGAAGACCCCTGCAAAGTACTCTATTTGCCCTGTCGTTATTTGCAATATACGTAATTAGGTCTAAAAAAACGTCCAATAAGTAATATTTTTCTTTAGGATCAACCCTAAAATTATCAAATTCAAACAGGACGTGAAGAAAAATGGACGTAAGCCATTAAAATATTAGGTACCTACTTGTGTTTGGTAACGCCGAGCTGTCTCATCTGGTCGACTATGACTCAGGAGTTCTAAGTTTACCATAGTACATGGATTATAGAAGCCTTTAATTTATCTATGGTAAACTTAATTTACGTGTAAATTTGTGGTGACGGATTAAAAATACAGAGTGTCCCCAACTCGTCGTAACTAAGGGAGCAAACTAAGCAGGAAAACTTAACTGCAAAGAGAAGGAAGCCTTGAAACAAACCCTATAATAACCTGTCAGGCCAGCGTTTTATAGTAGGCCAAACCCTCCTTTCTAAGGAGAGGTCCAGCAGAGGACTATTAAAGACTGTTATTACAAGAATATGTTAGGTAGGTAAAATTTACAAATTATATGTTTTGTATTTACAGATAAGTAATAAGTATATTAATGTGACAAGTAATAACATGCCTTAGCATTATACCTCCTTTTGCCGATATTCTATAGAATTTCGGAACTTACTCGAGTTATCCTACTGATGCGTGTAAAGGTCATCGATAACCTTTTTTTGCTTTTAAACAAAATGGAACAACAACAAAATTGTAAACGTTTAAATTTATCTAAACAAATAAATAAAAAAACTAGATTAGTTTTATATATTTTGTGTGTATGTTTAGTTAAAAAGCAAAGACAACATGGGGCATCGGGCCAATGTCTCCTGAATCAACTTTGGGATATCATCGCTATATATGAGCAGTAAAAAGGAACGTAAGTACATAATATGTCGATCATCATGGACATCAAATATAGGTACGGCTGACAAAACAGAGGGTGCGTGCCACAAAAGAAATATATTTTATCTTGTTCATTTGTTAAGTCGTGAGACCTCCATATTTTTATGATTCATTATATAAATAAAAATGCTATACTTAACAAGAATATACAATTTGTAACATTTTTAAACATAATTATGAGAATATGTGTAAAAACTTTAATCAAAATTCAAAGTAAGGTAATATATAGGTAAACCTTATTCGATATTGTTACAAACATACCATTTAGTATTAGGTTCTTAACCAACAATATACTTTCATTAATATCATAGACTGAAAGGAAGAAAAACTCTAAATTGCACATGTATGATTCATTTACTTATATTGGATTATTCGCTTGCCTTTGAACATGAACATAAGATGTTAAAAGTTCATAAACCAGAATCGAATTCTGACTGCCGGCATGGCGAAGTCTTACTATCAGAATTTGTTAAAAATTCCTGCGAAGTCTTGACACTCAAAGCCAAATTTGACATTACTCATTTGGTTGGGTAACTAAGAGATTCGACTCTACCAGGTAAGAATAACATACAACTAAATTGTCCTTTATGGTGATCGAACCCAAAACAAACAAGTTACAGATGTTGAATTGACCATTAAACCACCGTGTGGTTTGACTGTCTATTAGTCTGCCACCAAAGCGTCTCATCAATTATTACTATACCGTATGTAGTGAGGACAGGAGCGGCTAATATTCAGTAATTGGCACGCACGAGAAAGGAAGTGAGGAAGTGGAAACAGCGCATATAACCAGGGCTCTTGGAGCTACCGGCGGATTGCCGCCTCACGCTTCAGCACGGATCAGTTCCAACAATATCTCATCCGCTTGATCGGGACCACTTACTGCCTTTATTAAGGGCTTAGACATGAGATTCATATTAGCTACGTTTAAAGGTATACATTATAATATCTTGAGGTTTCTTTCTTGTGTTAGATAATTGTACCTGAGTGTGGTGTGATAAGGGGTTAGATTTCATGTTCCCTGAGATATTAAACGTTTTCATACAATTGTGTGTCAAAACTTTGACGTCATAAAAACTAGGGCTGGCTTTATCGAGAACAAATTTCACTCATTTCATGTAGGTATGTGAAAGGGCAACCCGTCTGGCCAGCGTGGTATAGTACACCAAAACCTCCATTGTAAGGAGAGGCCTATGTCCAGCAGTGGACTGTTAAAGGATGTTGATGATGATGTGAAAGGACGTTAGAAGTGACAAGATGATGAATTTTATTTTGCGTCTAATCTTCAAAAAAGAGGAGGTTCTTAATATAATAGTAATAATAATAATATTTTCGGACATCTGACACACAGTGCCATCTAGTTTCAAACTAAGCAGAGCATGTACTATGAAAGCTAGATTGACTGAAAGAATACTTATATAACTTTTCTTTGCAAATACATACAAATATATTATACATAGAAAACACCAAAACTTCGAAACAAATACTTGCAGATCATACAAACATTTGGTCCCACCTGGGAATCAAATCCGAGACCTCAGCACAGCAGTCGCATACGCTACCACTACACTACCGACGCAGTACGGTTACGGGTTTTTTATGTTTCTATTGCATATTATTTCTAAGGTTTATGAGGTAACTTTAAAAAACATCACCAATTTCTATGCACCCACGTCATAATTAATTGTTTTAACCGGCATTCTTCATTTCTTAATTTATCCCCTTAAGAGTGGTATACTATTTCTTCAAATTTGAATTGGGCCACACGGGGAGTAGGTAGGTATACCCTCAAAAATAAAAATAAATGTTTTCCCATAAAATCGTTTCTTAATTTTGAAGGAGTTTAGAGGGAACAGATATAAAGAAACCATCTATTTGAGAATCTATTCACTTTTTTAAGGTCGAATAAAAACTATGCTAGTTTAATTGCATTTTGCATCGTTTAAGTAACAGCTACGATAAAAAATGGACACTTGCGAATAATGCTTTCAGAACACATCAATCTGTCAACACAACTAAATAGGGGGTAATTACTAGGGACGCAGCATCGTGAGAACCAGAGGCCTGAGTTTATCTGGGGACTGTCCCGAGGGAGCTCTACGTAGCTATAACAACATGTTCTAACGCGGTCACACCTAAATCAGCCAATTATATTAATTTATTTATTAATAGGAAGTGTTAGATTACACATAAGAGCTTTATTAATCCCTTTTAAAATAACTTAATAATAAAAGAACGACCATATCACTAATGCAACAAAAATGTAGCACCTTTATTGAACAGTAGTTTTAAAGTATTAATTCACCTGCCTGTCTTAATAGAATAACATAATATAAAAACCATTAATAACATAATATATACAAAAACATTGACTTTAAAAAAAAACTTAAGCACGTTTGTGTCTTTTCAGAAATTTTATTATTATATTTCTCGTCTGAATTGTAATCTACCCATATTGTGATAAGAAAATAACGCTTTTGCGAGACTCCCAGGAGGCTATGGAAGAATTGTGAGGTATTATTATAAAATGTATACTTAACAGTACCCTAATTCACCTTTTTAATATGCCAAAGAGGATTGAAAGAGATATTCAGGTCTCCAACGCCTAGGTACGAAGATGATTCAAAATAACCAAAATTCTAGTGGTTTCTTGTTTATGCACTATACCAATCGTATTCTATATAGTCACAACAGTCAGGAGTCCAAAAAAAAAAAAAAATTACAAATGGAAAGCTAATTTGTATCGAATCGAGTCCCCGCCCAATACTTAAGCTCCGCCCAGAAAGCGCGTACGCAACACGTCTGAACACTTCAGTAACATTGCGCTGAAATCTTGTACAGAGCAGACGTGTCTGTATAACATAACTATTGAAACTGACGACTTTTGTGAATGTTTTGTGTGTGGTTACTTACTAAAAAGTAATGTTTAAAATACTGTCAGAAGGCAGCTTATCGGATTTTTAGCAAGTGCTAGTGTTAACTGTGTATTCCAAATTTGGACAACTTTATGACAGAGTAAGTCAAAATGGAATACAATATTAGAACCAACTTTATACCAACGGATGGTCTTAGTGAATACCAGGATACACCACACCTAGAACAGTTTGAACCCATTTTGAATCAGGAAGGCAACCAGGAGTTCTTCCACCCAGGATATCTGCCTTTCTTATATGAGTACAGAGCTGTCGATAGAGGACTTTTTGAGACAAGAGAAGCTTCTGAGTGGGAGTGGGGGGAGTGGGAAAATCATGTTGTTGTGAAGGAAGAGACGGAAGACCAGGGTAGGAGTTTTGGAGAAGAAGGTGAGTGAATTCGTTTATATTTACAAAGCTATTTAAGTATCGGTTACTTGAAAGGAGATTTATATACTAAAATATATTTATGCTATTGGAATAATTTAAAATAAATCTGGTAGCTTAAAACATGATCTCTAAAACACGATAAATAGTAGTTTTTCTTTTACATAATGCAATTAATACAAAGGAGGTTATAGACTTGATAAAGAGGTGATAATATTAATTATAAGTTAGTGAGTTTGTCAAAGTCAGTTACAGTAGAAACTTCTTTCAGAAATTACGAACTACTTTCGCTAAAAGTTTTTAGGCTAATAAATTAGTCTTCCTAATTAAAAATACTTGAAAATCTGTAAGATATCACAATATAACTACTTACTTAATTCAAATTTTAAAAACCGCTTAGCTGCTAACAATAATATTATAGCTACTTTATTTGAACTATATAAAAAAGGTTCGAGAAATAAGTATACTGCAAGATATTAAAACCTTAAAATACAAAAAAAAAAACTTTCTGATTTTCATCTTAAGACAGTGTATGTTTGAAAGTAGAAGGACTTTTATAAGAGATTTTTAAATAAAATCCTCGCAAAACTGCGTTTGCGTCTTTGATGCACTGCTGAAATTCATTACTGAAATTCATTGATGCACTGCTCCTATTAGCGTGATGTTATGTAGCCTATAGCCTACTTCGATAAATAAGCTATCCAACAGTAAAATAATTTTTCAATTCGAACCAAACAAAAAAAATCTTAAGCTCTATAATATTAATAGAATGGAAATATCCGTGTGGTGACGGATTAAGAATACGGAATGTCACCACGCCTATTCATCCCGTGGGTGTCGTAAGAGACGACTGAGAGAACAAACTGCACAGGACAACAGCATTGCAAAAAGAAGGAAAACTTGAAACAAACCCTATACCAACCCGTCTGGCAAGCGTGGTATAGTAGGCCTAAACCTCCTTTCTAAGTAGAGGCCTATGTACCTAAAGCAGTGGACTGTTATAGGCTGTTGATTTTTGATGGATAGAATGGAGATTATGAAAAAGTTCATTTATAGTCTTCAAGCGTAATCTTTTTTTTTTTGTAAAGACATCTCCCGCATTAGGAATACCTATATCCTGTGTCGCGGGGGACTTTACAAACATACATGAAACGGACACAAATAACACCCAGACTTAGAACATCAATTTGTGGATCACACAAAGTTATGTCCCGTGTGGGGATCGGCACAACACTCAACGTAGTAATAAGCGGCGTGGCGACCGCTGAAACCACTACGCCATTTGTGCAGTCAAAGTCACTTTACAAGTCATAGTTATTTATTAAAATTCTACTGAAACTAAAACCGTAATATGTACTGAGTAAAACAGATCTTAAATATGTTTTAAACCGACTTCAGAAAGGAGGAGTTATCAATTCGGATGTTTATATATTTTTTTATGTATGTTCGGGCATAACTCCGTCATACATAGACAGATTTGCAAATTTGTTTGATGAGTTTCGAAGACACAACGCACTCTTCAAAAAATGACAGCAAATCAACCGCGATTGATGCTAGCTTTTTAGTGTTTTTTGTTGATATTGTATGACGACAACTTTTTTTTTAAAAGAATCAGAATTGTTTATGTGACAAATTGTACATCTATAAATAAAGAGGTCCAAGTCTGGCTTACAATTTTTTTTAAAGGATTTGTAAAGAATCAGAATTGTTTATGTTACAAATTGTACATCAACAAATAAAGTGGTCCAAGTGGTCTGGCTTACAAATTTGGATGGTGATACTTATTTATGGTATACAAGGACAAACAAGCTGACGGATTACCTGATCACGAGTGACTACTGCCATATGCCCTTTGAAGCAAGTATCAAACAGAGAATAACTCTTATTCTCTGATCTGTGTATTGAAACCCCACTGGGTTTTGACTTCAGTAACCTCTCTCCCTCGATGAAAAGGAATTAAATAATTGCTCAACACCTCTCGGGAATTGAATTTTTTACCCACTAAAAAGTTGTCTAAATTTTGGAAAAGTAATAGTCGATAGGTGCAAGGTCTGGTGAGTATGGCGGATGAGGGAGAGCTTCCAACCCCAGCTCTTGCAGCTTGGAGACTGTCTGTTGCGCAGTATGGGGTCGCGCGTTGTCGTGAAGGAGCAGTGGGGACGACCGATTGACCAAAGCTGGTTGCTTGGTACTCACCAGACCTTGCACCTACCGACTATTACTTTTTCCAAAATTTAGACAACTTTTTAGTGGGTAAAAAATTCAATTCCCGAGAGGCAGTACAAAATGCCTTTGAAGAGTTTGTTGCCTCCCGTCCAGCTGATTTCTACAAGAAGGGCATCAATAAACTGCCAATGCGTTGGCAAAGATGCGTCGATTGCATGGGTGATTACTTCGAATAACAGAAATAAAAAAGTTTGAAAAAATAAGTACTTTCACTTATTGCATACAAAACGGCAATTTCATAGGTAAAGACATATCTTTGTCTAAATTGTCGTATTTTGCCCTGCATTAGAAAACAATCTGCAAAGTAAACCTAACCTATCCGATACACCGTTTATGGTGCTTCACATCGTCATCATAATCGGTCTTTCATAGTCCACTGCTGAATAAAGGCCTTTCTGGTAACCTGATTTCTTCTGCAGCAGCGTTTCTTGTAGAATGTAAGCATTTCTCACTTTAGGCGGTGCATAGGTATGTATAGGTAAACAAGTGTTATAATATCGTACTACATATTCCCATCTCACCTCGAAGTTTTACGAGTGGAAATCTGCCATTTACGACCGAACTGGACACAAACAAGAGGGTCTAAAACGTAAACAGGAGCCAGTCAGCGCCGGCGCCGCGCAGCATATGGCAAACATTAGCTAGACAGCGGATAAAGGTGGTAGCTAGTACAAATACTAGGTATAACTGTTTCCTGTAATATTATATTTTTCTACTAGTTGCAAGTCACTGCACTTCATTCTAGGTTATTTCAATTTAGTTGAAAAACGTATAACTTATCATGTAACTATAATACTAATAGGTACACTGTGATAAGAATGTTTAAGATCCTAAAAATAGGAGAATCACAAACCCCAAAACACCTCATCTGCTATCACTTATAATAATAATAATAATAATAATAAAGCCATTTATTCCCAAAATAACATTTCAAAATAAAACTTAAAATACATAGAATCATTATTTAACTTTACATGCATAATTTTAGCAACAACGATTAATATCAACATTTATATACTATTAATTAACATTGAGTATCATTATTTATTTATTAACATGTATATTGATTTGTCTATTCATAACTATCAACATGTGCTTACAAATCGACATTCAGTATGATATCATACTTATTAGTATTTACTTATTATGTAATATATATATAATAATTAGTATGATATTAGTATTAATTTATGTTCATTTATTTGTGTATTTAATATTTAATATAAATTTATGTAGATCAAATCTTAAACAATATAATTCAATATTATAAGCAATCAAATTATCCACCATAAACAATCAAATCAACAATTCGTTAATGAGTTAATTAAAAATTGTATTTCGTATACATGTAATATTTTTCAATTAAAATAATATAATTACTGACTTGTTTCTATTTTGGGTACCCAAATTTGAGCAAAGGCCTCCTCCATGCATCTCCACTGTTTCCTGTCTTTCGCAAGTCTAGTCCAAGTAGATCCCGCCGCTCGCACGATATCGTCGCGCCAGCGTCGCTTAGGTCTTCCACGGCGACGTATTTCATCTCGCGGCCACCAGTGCAGAACACGTTCGCTCCAGCGTCCGTCATTTAAACGTGCCACATGACCTGCCCAGCGCCATTTTAGTTTACAGGCTGTTTCTGCTACATCTACAAGGTTGGTATTTCTTCTGATTTCAGAGTTTCTTATTTTTTGTTTTAGTTTCAGTCCCATCATACTTCTTTCGGCAGCCCGTTGAAAGACTTGAAGTTTGTTTATAATTTGCTTCGTCAGCGCCCAGCTCTGACACCCGTAGAGCAATGTGGGAGCCACTACTGTTTCAAAGGCTTTTTTCTTCAATCTTATTGGTAGTTTGGATTTAAAAATATGTTTTAGTGCCCAATATCGCTTCCAGGCAAGTTTTATTCTACGCTCCACCTCGCCCGACGTTTGCTCTCGAAACGAAATTCTCCGGCCCAAGTAAGTATACTCTTCGACATACATCATCATATTTGGTTCTATTTTAATTGGTTTTTGTTCTCCGTTGGTCATTGCACATGTTTTTTCTAGGTTCATAGTTAAACCGCATTTTCTGCTCTCTTGGTCTAGTGTTTGTAACATATATTCCAATTGCGAGTGGTTGTCGCTTACAAGTATAATGTCATCAGCAAAGCGCAAGTGGTTCAATAGTTCTCCGTTTACATTTATACCTACAGAGTTCCACTCTAGGTTGCGAAAGATGTTTTCAAGAAGGGCAGTAAATAGATTTGCAGATATTGGATCACCTTGTCGTACTCCTCGCTGAACATTAAATGGCCTTCCTTGTCTCTCTAGCTTTACTTTTGCTTTACTCCTTTTGTATATTTCTTTTAATATTTTAATATACTTTATAGGTACACCTTGCCGGTCTAAAGCCTTCCATAGAGCGGAGTGAGCTATTGAATCGAACGCCTTCTGGTAATCGACAAAAGCGATGTAGAGCGTTTTGCCGTATTCTTCGTATTTTTCTATAATTTGAGTGATAGTAAATATATGATCGATTGTAGAGAACCCCGGACGAAAACCTGCTTGTTCTTTAGGCTGATTTTGTTCTAAGATGGGCATAATTCTTTTTAGTATTATTTGAGTAAATACTTTGTAGGTTGTTTGCAATAAACTTATAGGTCTATAATTTCCAATATCTTTCGGGTCACCTTTTTTATATAATAGTGTTATAATTGATGTTTCCCACTGCGATGGTATAATTGTCGATCTTAGAATTTCATTAAATAAGTATGTAAAGGTACGAGACAGAGGCTCAATCAAGCATTTCAGAATGTCATTGGTAATTCCGTCCTCTCCTGGGCTTTTCGAGGATTTTAGAGATTTTATAGCATTATATACCTCTGCTTCAATCAATAAAGGCTCTTCCGCACTCGAGCTGTTCAATCCTGTCGTAACAAAGTTCTCACCTACGTCCCTACATCGATATAGCTCTTCATAAAATTGTGTTGCTACTTCCACCAACTCCTTTCTATCAGAGACCGACCGTCCTTCTCTTGTTGATAATGAAGGAATCCACTTTTGAGTATTGTTTAGACGTAGCTGTCCTCTTTTGGTTGAATTATTAATTATTAGCTCTTCTTCAATTATTTTTAGTCTATCTGAGTGCTTTCTTCTACTTATCTTCCTCTTGATTGTTTTGTACAGCTTAGAGAGCTCTTTCTTTTCAGGTTTCGTTTTATTTTTCTTCTCTTTTAAGATAGTTCTTCTCTCTATGAGTCTGGCTATATCTGGTGTGATGTCTTGGTTTGTTTTTTCTATGGTATAGTCCTGTCTCGGTAGTAAGATTTGGTTTTGGATAGTTTTAATTAAAGCTGAATATAATTCTTCGACGTCTTCACTGGCGGTAAGAGGAGCAGACGCTTCAGTGAATTTGTTTTTGAGTGTTTCTTTTTCTTGTAGTGTTAGTGGGGTAGTTCTGCCCTTGAAGGATTTCCTTGATTTTATTTGTTTTTTTAGTGATAATTTAGCTCGAAGAAGCCTGTGGTCAGTAGGGTATGTTGTATTGATTACATTTATATCTTTTATTTTATTCTTAGTGTTTGTGATAATATAATCGATTTCATTATATGTTTTACCATCCGGGGAGCACCATGTCCACATTTGCTTTTTATTCTTTTTAAAGTACGTGTTCATAATATGTAATTGATTCTCCATGCAAAATTCTTTAAGCAGTTTTCCTCTTCTGCTGACATTATTAGCATAGTTCCATGGTCCCATTATACATCTGTCTTCAGGTCTAGCGGCTCCTATTTTGGCATTAAAGTCCCCCATAATTATTATATTTGGGCCTGTATTGTATAGAGCAGATATTAAATCTGTGTAAAAAACATTGCATTATATCGTCTGGCGCCTTTTCTGTTGGAGCATAGACTTGTATAATACTAATACGTAAGTTGTTAATGTTTAGGTCAAGTCTCGCAACTCTATTTGCGATGGGTTTGAACTCTATTACATATGTTTTCATGTAGTCCTTCAATATAAAACCAACACCACTGTAACTGCTCTGCTCGTTGCCTGAATACATAAAAATATAGTTATCTTTTTGAAAAATATCAGTTTGTTTTTGCCTTGTCTCAGATAAGCCTAATATATCCCAATTTATTTTTTCCATAGCATATACAAGTTCGATTTGTCTTGTTTCACAAACTATTGACCTAACATTAAGCGTACAAATATTAAGATATGGAGGGTTGCAGTCTTTATCCCCCGCGGTGACTAGCCGTATTGGGAGATCGAGAAGGGCCGTATTTGATTGCTATTCATTTTTTTGGAGTTCTGGTTGTTCATCGGAAGAACGTTCATTGTTGAAAATCAGTTTCGTTTTGTGTTGAACGTAGTTTTTCATTGTGTTTGTCTTACTTTTCTTTACAGGTTGTTTTATGTTGTCTTTGTGTTTTTTAATATAGTTTTCTTTTGTTTCAGGTGACTCAGACAAAGTTCTCTTGTTTTTTTGAAAAAAAGATTCTTTATTGGTCGGAAGTACAATGAGCTTATCATATCTTATGAAAGCCTTTTTGCCCGATTCTATTTCTTTTTTCAATTGTATTTGTAATTCTCTACGTTTGTTCAGCACTGCTTTAGGGTAATCTTGTTTTATGTAGTAAGGTGAATTTTTCAAACAGTAAAAACTTTGTTGTATTTTTATTTTAAGTCCCACTGTCGCAAACGTAATTGATACAGGTCTTATATTTTCACCTTTTTTTCCAAATCTTCTGACAGCTTCAATCCCATTTTCATAATTCAAGTGAAAGTATTTCTGTATTATTTCTAATATTTTTCTTTCTAGGTCGTGATACGAGTTTTCGTTTTCTTCCACCCCGAAAATAACCAGATTTTTACGCCTAATATATCTTTCTAAATGATTAATATATGAAGAATGTTCTTCCAGTTTCTTTTCTATATGTTCATTCTTAATTTCCAGGCTCCTAAATTTTTCGTTTATATTGTTGTTAATTGCAGTTTTTATTTCTTCTTTCATTTCAAGCATGTCCTGTTTTTGTTGTATCATTTCTTTTTTAATGTTTTCTAACATTATTTTTATTTCTTCCATGATAGTACTTTGTTTGCTCTTTTTAATGCAAAAATTGTTGACAGTGCCCTCTGTTGGTTATCTTTCGGAACAACGATTCAACTAGGAATCAATACTCCGAATACCTGGTTGTGTTGTTCTAAATTGTCAATAGATGGCTCTAATGGTCCCAGATTTGTCTGAATAATTAACATTAAAATCAACATTAAATAGGGCATAGTCATGGAGGAATGACCCCCGAGATCCCATCAAGAGTCCAAGAGAAGAACCACAGATAACTAACACATACCTAAAAAGCAATACAGTACTCGAACAATTGCACTTCAGAGGGTAGCATTGAAAACGTTTATTAGGTGGTATCACACGCTGTTTTCTGTTCTTTCCTCCCTGTTTGTACAAAGCTTTTATTTTATTTGATTATTACCGCACCATACACTTGAAACATTCATTAATCACGACGACAGTTAATTTGTTTTGACTTGACACACAGGTACAGGTAATTGATATTTTATATTTGTTGATACCTCTTAGTTCACTCAAATTTCACTGGAACCTCGATATGTTCCATGTGGCACTTAGTTCAATAACACACTTTTTTGCACTTTTTACTGTTTTTAGTTGAAAGTGAATTTTTAGTTTGAATTTAAACACGGACTCGATGTTAACAGTGGCACTGTGGCGCCCTCTCCCTCTCTAAGTCTGCTCTGCTATCACTTACAGATATTATAATAGTTTTATTTGACACAAATATGTTAACAAATAGTTTTTTAATGTGAAATAATTACAAATTACCTTTTTTTGAATTTTCTCCATTATTGTCATTTGAAGTCTCGAAAAGTTTAAAAATATAAACGATCATTTAGTGATTATAACTATAATACCGATATAGAAGATAATCTGCAGTGCTATTTGCAGAGTCACGTTCTTGCGGACGGAAGGAGCGTACAGCATTTACGAAGACCCAGATCAGCAGTTTGGAAACAGAGTTCGCTCGGGCAAACTATCTCACTCGCCTGAGACGGTACGAGATCGCTGTGGCACTGCACCTTACTGAGAGACAGGTATTAAACTATAATATAAATATGTTACATGTGTTTGGCAGTGGCACAAAATATCAGGGGGTATAATAGAACAGATTGCAGCCACTCAGCTGATCATGTTTTCCTTTGGTCTTTCGAGCCGGAACCTCCATCGTATACAAGTTTGCGATGCAAGTTTGCTTGTAGAGAGCGATCTTGCGGTCTTTTGCTATGTCAAAAAAAAACTTCAGCACATAGTACCTAGGCTAAAAAAGCAATTATTCTAGGTCCAATCAGTAGAACACGTTGCTTTGTGACTAATAACTTCGTATATTCACATGAACTATAATCTACTTTCAGGTAAAAGTGTGGTTTCAAAACAGAAGAATGAAATGGAAAAGAACAAAAGGCGTCTCGAAACACTCCAAGAAAAAAGACCTCGAAAGTCATACTTAGATTGTTTAGTTACTGTAATTTTAATTATTTCAACTAAACAGTAAATGCCTGGCTATTAAATTTTTCTTGGTGTTAGCATGAACATCGTAGGGATTGTTTCAACAGTAGATATTGGTAAGAAATCGTAAGCTTAATATTTAAATGTGATTATTTGTTATTAGTCTCCTAAAACCTCAAATATACATATATAAATATTTTATTACTAGGTTAATTATTCTTTGCCCACAGACCAAAGAATAATAAACCTAGTAATAATAATAATACCTTACACATCTCACACACGGCCGTCTAATCCCAAACTAGGCAGATCCTGTGCTATGGTAACTAGACTACTGATAAACATACTTATATATTATAAATACATACATATTACAACTAAATAACACCCAGACACAGAACAAATAACCGTGCTCATCACACAATATGCGTCCTGTTTGGGAATCGAATCCTAGACCTTCGGCTTAGCAGTCAGGGTCACTAACCGCTAGACCAATAGGCCCGTCAAATAGTAATCATACACCTTCCTTATCCTACGGTGCCGATAAATAAGTGCTCATAGCAAGCCATCTTCGAAGGTGTTTGTGGGTATAATAATATACTTTAACGTTAACATAAGTTAGTATGTGAATTTATTTCCTTGGTCTGTATGTTGCATGTCAGGTAAGAAAGTATGAGGCATTCTATATAAATAAATGTATATTTTGTTAAAAATCGGCGATCGAATCGTCGCATTCCTACACGTTACATACTTACACAGTCACATACTTACACGTTACATACTTACACAGCGCCATCTGTTGACTAGACGACAGTAACATCGCAAATAGTTTATACTCAACTATTTCAAATACGAAGGGTAATTAAAAACGTAAAATAATTAAAATAAACACAAGCATTCAGGAGATAAGATATGTTTATTAGACAATTCATACCTCGGGCGCGTTGAAGCGCCGAACAAAATAATAACTAAACGTAATAATAATATTGTGAACTATCGCACTATCTTTGGAAGAAACTAAACATCCGGACTATGATAGGGCTTACAATTTGTTCAATACTTATGTAAAATCAATACGAACAACAGCGGGAAACTTCCAAAAACACTAAATTTAACATATCAAGATTTAGGCGATAGAACGTTTATTTTTTAGACGTACAGTTTCTGAAAATCAGTTTAACTTAACGAATAAACTTACAATAATAAACACAGATGTCTGATAAGATCACCGTAGTGGCGCGCTTGCAACACCATTATTTCACTAGCTCGTACTTTATTAATACTAAGTACGTTTCATGCATGCAATTTAATAATATTTAGGTATATGTTAAAAATAAAGCAAATTAAAATTATTCGATTAGATTCTGGACTACTAAAATCCATAATTATCGAAGATTAACTTGACTCCCACCTAACTAGCGACATCTGTGTTCAAAATTTTCAAATAAAGTGCGACCGCTTTTATTGGATCTAAAATAGAAAAATATACCTTTGCAGTATTTGGAAGACTAGGAAACATGTAGAGTTTTGTGTGTATACTACATGGTGTGTTGCCAACGTATTATTTAAGGTTCTCTTGAATGCATCTAAATTTCGAAAAAAAATAGTTAAGCTTTTTGACAACTTAACAATTTCAAATATAACAAACCATTACGCCAATATTCCCATTAGTTTGCTTGAAATAAAACTCGCAACGCAATAGATCCGATTCGTCCGGGTAGTTTTATAAAAATTGAACTACAAAAAAAAATTACACAAATTAAAGGAACAATTAGCTACTTATCAATAAATATTGCGTTTACAAGTCAATCCCCACATCTTGTAGGGGCGTTAGTATGGGTATTTATAAACAATCAAATCACAGTTATATAACCGATAGCATTTATATTTTCTTTTTCAGAAACTGTACATATTCAATGAGCATTGCCGTTCTTAGTTTCGCCATACAAAACTTTAAATTTCCATGTACATCACTAACATTGGACCTAGCTACACCATTGGACCAAATAAAACAGCTAAGTTTCAACAATATAGATATATATAATTATCATGTTTTAACATATGCCTGTTCACTTGTCTATATAGATTTAACATGGGGTTTTGCATAACAACAATATTTAAAACAATTACACATTCTGTATTATTATTGCTTTTTTATATAACCTGGACAGAATGTAACAAGGTCTATGCTTAACTATAACTCGATAAACAAATTCTGTTTGAGAAGAAAAGTATTTGTAAAGGAATACGAAATCCGTGGTGCAAAGAAAATGCTGCATGCAGTTTGTTAGGCCTCAGGTTATCGACTCGAATAGCTGGAAGTGAAACAAATCCAGTAGGCGAAGAATAGAATGAGGAAGAATTCAGTTAAACGCAGCAATTATTTAAGTTGATGGGTCTCCGTGGCCCAATTATGTACTAATAACTTGTGTAAAATCTAGACTGATACAAGATTTAACAGTGCAAAATGACTATGTTTCCAAAAGATCAGCATAATCGAAATAGTACTTTAATGTAAGTAGCACAAGAATGTGTTTCGTTATAATGGTTATTGTTGCCTAAGCTTGTTTGAAACAACCAAATTTCGCGATTACATACCAGCTTTTGGAAGCTGCTTCTTGATCCACCGCAATCTATAATATATCGAAAGTCTTAGCGTTACAGTTAATTTTTCTTTGCCAATTTTATGTACAGTTTGTAATGTTGTACGGTAATGTTCGATAATAAGTCAAAAATGTATACATATTCCGTAATTAATTGATATGTAATTATTCAAATGTAACAAATAATTTTCGTAAACATCAACTTGAACTTTTTTTCACGTTGCATTAAAGGAACCATTCTTTAAAGGAATTGCTATTTCGTGGGTATCTCAAACAATCAACATTTATTTTCCTGTCCAGGTTATAAATCTAAATTCTACCTTATTACACTATAGTTTGATGTGCTATAAATTTAAGCAGACCTATATCCTAGTATCCAACTATTTTATTAAAACATTAAGCTACTATAATTCTTGAATTTTAATCTACCTCTCTTGATATAATAAGACAGATTAAATATAATTTGATATAGGGATAAATGCTTATTATCAAGGAGGTCAGACTGCACAAACTTTTTCATTAAAACATTCTCACTATATGTATGTTGCACAGGACGGCAATAGATGTCGTTAGCAGACATCTGTTTAAAATTATAGCATTCTAAATTTAAACAATTAGTGTTGCATGTTAAAAAAATACATATATTTTTCTAATCCGTCTATATAGGCAAGCGTACAGGTCACTCAATGAGCGTAAGTCTATCTTATAAAAAACGTGTCAGAACTAACCATTTGCTCTCGTGATTTCAATATAATTATGTACATGTTTTATTATTACACATTTTATGTTTTTTGTGAGGCACAAATTTAATCACCAAGTTTTTTTATGTTTTTTATTTCATTATTCTTTACTGTAGGGACATTTATAATTAGGATAGATCAGAAATCACATGGATATAAATAAGTGATTGTTTATAGTTAAATATACTTATATAGTTTAGAAAATATAAATATGCTCTTTTATCAGTGAATCAGATGTTATTAGCTTTGTATATTAAATAAACTAAGTGCAAATTTACCTATAATTATACGCCATGAGACGTCTTACGGCGATTATGTATAAATAATCTATGTCACCTTTATATCTTTATCATAATCAATGTACATCTTTTCTGTCTTCATGAAACTGTCTTTGCTGATTAAGTTTTTATTGACAGATTTGTTACTCATATTGTTTAATAGATTGTTAGAACAAACCTGTCAATAAATTGCATTTATCAATAAACCATTATTCTAGTTTTAAACTATTATTGTACTTTAAGTTCAAAGTATTTTTTACTATATCCAAATATAAATGCCCTCTACGTTAAAATCAATATTAAAACGATATAATTGTAATTTGTGTTTTATTAATTCCTGTTCTTTAACCTACATGGGATTTTAGTTCTAATGAGTTTTAATGCATCTTAAATATAATTAACAGTTGGAAAAATATGTTTCGAATGATATCCTTACAAAGTTAAGCTATACATTACTATACATACACATAATCTACTTTATGCGAATGATACGAGGCGATGACGTCATGTACTTACATGACACAATGACATACAATCTTCACCTCTAGCGGTACAATGAAATAAATAAATTATAAATGCGTATTTTTCCCCTGACTAGAGAATTTTGAATGCTTGCAGGAGGAACTTTTAGTGTAGGGAAAATAGTCAGGCTTTTTATAGCAGAATTCATTTGCTGTTCAGGTCGACAGGGGACTGACATAGTTCATGTATCTGTCTTTGCCTGCCGCGTGTTGAACATTGAATAGCCGCTATATATAAGAACTAGGACAGGCCTCTCAAATAACCTTATTATGATGAGCTACTAAGGATTGTTTGTTGTTGTCACAGATATAAGACTTATGTTAAATTCACTAACGAAATATTATCGCATTATTATACCCTACAATAATTTCTTTGATTTGAATATTTGCTGGATTGAGTTATAATGCTGATCACAGCTAGATAAACATATATACTATTATATAATAGGATAGCCCCATTTCTTCTATATGCTATTTTAAATAACACCTTATTCTAACATAATTTCGTATTTTTAAATAATAAAATTTGTATTTAAAACTACAAATTTGGCAGTTTCTTCTTCAGGTGGAATTTCATTTTTAAATATTTATTATAACATTTAGATTTAAAAAAACCAATACTCTTGAATAAAGATGTAACTATCGCCTTATGCAGTATAACTTTAAGACCAGCAAACAGTCAGTTTAACCACCGCTTATAGATTATTTTAAACATGACATGACAACTTAGCTCTGTGACAACAACCCATACAATAATATATATCACATAATTGAACTACCAGCATACAGGATCGCCAGCACATACCGTCGCATCATTTGCACAAACAAAAAAAAAAATGTAAATCTTCAGAGTATAATATATTTAACACTTCATGTCATTTCACAGCACATTGTCCGACACTACACTAGTTTATATACACAGTATAATTATTAAGGCTCGCGGGTGCTATGATGCAAAGTCAATCATGGTGAGGATTGCCCTCAGGCATTCGCTATATCACCACGAAGATCAGGCTTCGTTATGGACGCGGGTTGTCCACCGCTGGGCTCGGCCCCGACGGGCTGTTCACCTGCCCGGTGGCCATCACCGTCTGCGGGATAACCGTCAGCGACTTGGGTATTTTGGGCATTATCATATGTGATGTCATTACTGGAGGAGAGATCACCGTCTCGCTCACTATGGATACGGCGGGACCCAGGTGGGGGATTTTGATCGGCGTACTCGTCACGAGTAGGGACGGTGACGTCACTACGGGTGACGCGACAGTCTGTGACGTAATCGTGGCCGTTTTCGGCGGGATAGGCGCTATGGTTATATTCTTGAGCCCAACATTCTTCAGTATGTTAGCTGCATTGGCTCCTATTTGTCCGAGTTCTGAAACATCTTTCTTGTCTTGTTTCTCTTCAGCGGATATATTTTGGACGACCGTGCCACCGTTCCCGAGCATGGTGGACGGCTGTATTTCTGTAACTACAGTAGTTTCTTCTGTAGATTGCCGTTTGGACTTTTCTCCGTCTTGTAACTGCTGTAACTTTTCTCGCCTCATGATGCACATTTTGTTGTAATCTTGGAGAGTTATGTGGAACCGTTGTCCAGCTGACATCACCTGGACGAGGCTCGGGAGAGTTCGTCCGTCGACTGCTACTTGGGTCGGCTCTCGGGCAATTTTAGCTAGGTTTTCCTGTGAAAAAAATCATAGGTTAATCTTAATGTCCCAAGACATACTAGCTGACACGAGACTAGACTGTTTAGTATCAGCATCAGGACTTAACCCTTTTGTCGCCCTTCGTAACCTAAAAATTTTAACTAATTCCTAATAAAAACAAAAACGAACAAGTATTGCTCTTTATACCATAAAAACACATGATACCTGAAGCAAAATATCAAAATTGAATGTAAATAAACTAAAATGATGTAATAATCATATTTATACTTGTTTTTTCGTTCAACCTAAAACAGTAAAGTAAAATACGGCATTTAATTTCACAACAGAACAGTAGAACAGAACCTAATCCGTTAAAAAGAGTTGCAAAGACTTGTAGAATCCAATTAAAATAAGTAGATGGTAAGAGAAGAAGTCAGATAAAATAAATGTATTTTTACTTACTGGAGTGATAGGCATAAGTGTCGGCCGCCATGGTTTGCTGGTAGTTTTGGTCTTTTTAGGAGTTTCGTCCTTCTTCGGCGCATCCTTCTTCTCTTTCTGAGGTGGAGTGGGAGGCGGGTCCAGCTTGGTGGTCACCACCGTGGCGGGAAGGGGAGCCGCCGCGATCTCCGTCGGATCCGACGCCGAGACTCCTTTGACCAATTGCTGAATGTTGTGCAAAACATTTTGTATAGCCTTTCTACCTTGAGCATTAGGAGTATTGATGGCTATAAGCTCCGGTGGCAAGTTTTTGGACTTTGACTTGTCACTTTTAATTTTTGTCTTTGGTAACACTCCAGGCGGTGGCATAAACTTTTTGGTTTCCTTATCGGCGGAATCGTTCTGATTGGATTTAAGTAAACTTTTCCCATTCGTGGATGGTTTTTTTCTGAATTCTATAAGACTAATAGGTTGCTCGCTACGTTTGGGCGTTTCACTGACGACGTTGTCATAGGCCCGCAACCTATTCTGCGCCGAATCACTGTAATTGGTTGCGTGAGGAGTGGCATTATGTGATAGAACTAGATCTCCACTTCTGAAATATTTTTCTAGAAGGATCAGATGTCTGAGGAAAGAGGACTGGTTGCCATAAGGCCTTTGTAACTCACTCCAGAGTTTCTTAGTCTCGACATCGTACTGGATCATGGTGTTACACTTTTCCCATCCGTGTGGAGTCACGCCTTTTACATTATTGAACTCAATATTACACTGTAAGTTCATTTCTTCCTCTCCGGGGAACAATTCTCGGACCGATATAGACGGATTTGTCTCCAATCTTTTGACCGGATTCGAATATTTTACTTCTGAATTCTTTTTAGGATCCTTGCTCTTTGAGAGTTCACTTAAGTTCTTCTTGACTTGAGTGAAGCTCTCAGACATTTGCCATTTATTTTTAAGCGTATTTATATCGGCGGGTCTTTTGTTCGGTATAGATTCTATAGTACATTCTTCATTTAAAGATATATTTTTGAAAATAGGAGTACCATCCTTTATACCCTCATCAGTAACTTCGTCTTTCCTTTGCTTTTCTTTATGAGTAACTATATGCCCAATTTTATGTATTCTCTTAGCATTTTTGTCGTTTATTCTATGTTGGTGTCCATGTTTTTGTATGCCTGATATGTTCTGTATTTTAAGTATATTTCTTTGTTTCTGTGTGAGGTTAGGTATCGGTAGAAATTGAGCTGGATTGTTTTGCTTCTGTAGAAGATATTGTAGTTCAGTTTGTTTGTCAATAGGTAGAATGGGTGCGTCCATTTCCATGATAGTTTCTGTTTCAGAGCCATCACTATGTGTATTGGACTCGCTAGATTTCGTAGCATTAGGTACTAAGATTTTGTTAGAAGATATGAGGCTCTCAATATCTTCTTCTAGAGGCGTTTCTCTATCACTTTCATGGTCTTTTTGTTTGTCTTTCTCCGGCGTGCTTTCGCTGGTTCTCTCTGAAGACTCACTGTTGTCCGGTTCTAAGCTCCGTTGTTTAGACTTAGCTCTCTGCTTCTTCTTTATTTTGTCATCTTCCGTCGTCTGTTCTTCCGTTTCGTTGTCTGACGTAGGCGTCACTTCTACGTTGTAGGTTTGGAGAAGTCTGAAATTTAAAAGTTGACATAATTATAAGTAATTTATAAAAACGCTTGTGTGATAGAGTCGCCGGGGTCGTATTGACTACAATAGTATTATATTATAATTATTTTTTAATTTAACTATATTGTACAACTTTAAATATGACCGAAGCTTTGGTGTGTGAGACAGTGAGGTAGGTAGGTAGGTAGTTACTTGAGGCGGTGCGCGTGCGCAAAGGGCCGGTTGTCGTGCGGGCGCTGCAGCAGCGTGCAGTAGTAGCGGCACGCCTTGCACAGCACGGGCCGCGCGCTGAACTGCACCGGGATGCGAGCGCGCTCCAGCAGCGGGTTCAGCTCCATGTAGCCCTAGGAACGCAACACCAGCTTTAGCTGACGACTCTACGTGTTACAATGTATTTGTGACAGTCGACAAGAGAATCGATACAAATTTACGAAATGAATGAAAGTGTAGAAGTCAATTATAAATTTTCCTACGTTTCATCTATTCATACAAAGACTTTGAAATATGTTTTTTTACGCAATTTAAGAAAATGTTGCATTCCTCACCATTCCATTCGTGCTTTGAGCTTTGAAACTCTGTACGAAGGGTAACGATCTTACAATGGCTCGAACATAAGTCTGCCTCCAATAAAAGTTTTTAATTAAATAAACTTACATGGTGTATAAAGTGCACGTTATGATGCTTGGTGAGTCTCCTGCGACAGAGTACGCACGCCATGAGCGGAGTGAGGCACCGGTAGTGCTCCGCGCATAGCGGGATCGTGTGCAGGCCCGGGTAGTCGTATTTGAGCTTCAACTATGAACCAAAGTACATAGAACTACTATAGAATACTAAATACAAAATTTTGCGTTTTTTAGACTTTAACAAGTAAATTTTTATACATTTGGTATATCTCACCTATTGGTCTATCTGGCTCGAAGGACCAAATTGTTTGGACTTATGTGAGATTTCAAGTATACTTACAGTAGAAGTAGTAGTAAGTGTACTTACTTTTATGAGAGTTAATAGTTTTGTTTACAGCCATAAGTAATGTTTAATTTACAGCCATAAGGAATGTTTAGTTTATATACGCAATCAGGCTGGGCATGGATGGGGTTCGAACTCGCAACCACTTCGTTGCAAGTCCCGTTCCGAAGCCCTTAGCCATTACACTACCGCGGCTTAGTTACAAATTTACTTTCACTTCCAAGAAGACCAAAATAGACCTAAAATTGTAGTTCACTGAAAAACCAGTATACACCTAAAGACGATATAGTAAAATAAGTAACACGAGGACCATAACTTCTGAAGAGAACTTATTTAAGAGCTAAATTCTTACCAGTTTGTTGACACTGGACCTCAATTTGATGAGCCACTTCCGTCGAATAGAATGGTCTGCGACTACGGTGCAACCTTCAGTGTGACAGAGTGACACACGGTTTGTGGTGGCAGCAGTTTGAGGTTCTTCCTCACTGTCCTCTTCTAAAGGCGGACTTGGAGGCTTCTCTGATTGGTTACTATAACGTTAAACAACATATAAAATAACATTAATACAAATAGCATTTCGTTTCATAGTATGTATGAGGAAAAATAATTACTTTCCCATTCCCAAGGAGATTTGTGGCCCGGCTATAAAGAAAAAAAACTAAAACCATCTTGACAATGAAATTAAGGCCTCCATAAAAGAGGATAAGACTAGAACGGGAATAAGCAATAATTTGACGAGTGATAGAGGAGCATGGGAGAAGAAAACCCTAATTACATTTGGGAAAACGGAATTATAAAGTTGGCAATTAGTTTAAAAATCTTCGTAATAGTATACGAAACCTCCATTAAATAAGTTTCGCTAACACAAAAGCTTTCTGAACAAACGCAAGCAAATATAGTCTAGAATTTGACTATAGTTTTCAACGCATTCTAATTTTATTTTCTTTTGTTAATGAGCTTTAGTCATATAAAAAATTAAAATCTTTAAAATTTTGAAAAGCGGGTGATACTAATATGAAATAAATAATTAATATAAATGCATGTGGACTGTCCAAGACCGGAATAGTTGGCGCTACTTGAGGGAGGCCTTCGTTCAGCAGTAGACGGCGATAAGCTGATGAAGAATGTAAATAAACAACCTGAACGAGTCCAAACTATTTTGCAAGATCTACCATGAAAAGGAACCGTCTAAGACTGATTACGATAGTTTAAAGCTCCCACCTTTTAGGTAGGAGTCTACATCACACTTAAAAACACGCAAGTACAAATAACTATAGTTGACCATTACGACTTTAAATAAGTTTTTTTTTTAATAAATCAGTTAAATGGCAGTTTTAAAATCTTTATTTCTCAAAAAGACATTTGTCACTTACGCGAGAACATTAAATTTAACTTTAAAACCTATTCACCCGATATAGGCAATATTTTTTTAATATAACCTCGTGATTTTGAAAGAAGTTGATCACCCAATATGACGACGATGTGCGTAACCTAAATTCGTAGAGGTGTCGGATCTGTTCTACGAATTGCTACAGACTCGTCTTGTTTAAGCGACGAATCGCTTGTACCAGAGAGCGTGACAAAGACAAATTACTTATATTTTGCGTGCTATTTGTTTGTTTGAAACTACTGCTTGTTGAAACTTTTTGTGACATACATTATGATGTAATGTATAATTTTGGATCTTGGAGGCAATCTGGTAATAGAGCCAGGAGGTAGAACAAGAATAGAGATAAAGATGCTGCGGTGGTTTTGGCATACTGAAGGGATGAACAAAGAGTGAATGTCCGACCGGCATCCATGGTCTGAAAACCGATCGGTAAATAGTGGACCTCATTTCAATGCTTTAATTCGTTTCGGTTTTTTTAATCTAATTTTTAAATATAAAAGAAAATTTAATTATTGAGTTAATTTTATATAAATAAAAAATATGTTACTCACTTATGAGTTGGTGACGTCTGCATGGGTTGTTCACCAGCACTCAACGGCGGTTTACCTATAGGTCGTTTCCTGTACGACGGGCAGTTGGCGCGCCGATCTACATGGCGATAGCATGCATCACAGAGGCAACTATCTATGGTCAGCTTTTCTTCATCTAAGCAGGAAGAACAGAGAAATTTAGTTTCCTAAACTTTATTTGTCGTGTTACAGGTAATTCCTTGATGAACAATAAAAATGATGGAAAGTCTCTGTTTCCTGTTACACATATCCGTCCCGTTTCGAGATCACTGTCATAGATTGCAGGAAAGCGTGAGGAAAGACGTTACACATTAATTACATTCGCTTAGTAATCCAATATAGATTTTTACAGCAGGTACGCGTACCTGTACGTACGTACGTACGCGTAAAATGGGTAAAAAATTTCACATATGTGGAGACTGTGTAAAATCCCAGATTTTGTAATTTTTCAGCAAGAACTGAAAAACACTAGAAGAAATTGAAAAGGAACTAAAGCAAAGCTCTTGGTCAACATATTAAAAAAAAATGTCATAAGATTTTATACAAATATAATATACTCACTGGCTAAAACCTTCTTCTGCCGTTCCGAACTTTTGATCTGAGCGATATGGCAGGGCGTATCAAACAGGCCGAATTTTCCACCACAGTAGAAGCATTGGTCCATGCACAGCCTTCCCGGATGGATGCTGAACGAGGATGCCTTCTCAGGGATCACCAGGTTGAGCGTTTCTTTTGGTTCAGCCGGCTCTGGTGCTGCTTCCGTGTCTGTGAAAGATGCTTCAGTGATGGGTGTTCTTGTCTAAGGGTGGTTTTAAGGGGCGGTAATATGTAATTTAAAAAACCTATTTCGTAAGTCCGTCAGTCATTACCGTGTCTCGTTTACTAAATTATCTAAATGAGTTAGGAAAAGAAAATTCAATTATTAGAATTACCGTCCGAGTGCCAGCTGAGACATTCTAAGTCGGTTCCGTATTTGACAAGTTTCGGTGCAATTTAAGTTTGCCACAAATGATCAGTAGTAAAGTCGTGATTAACTACGTGTCGTGATACTAGAACTAAACAATGTCAAATATAGCAAATTTTGAACATACTAGTTTTTGAATAAGTGGGATAACAGCAATATATCAGACGACCATCAATTTTCGTACCCTGATAGGGCAGAGAAATAGAAGTATTGAAGGAAAAGTCTGTCAATGTGGTGACGAATTGAAGAATGCGGAGTGTCACCACCCCTACTCATCTTGTGGGTGTCGTAAGAGCCCACTAAGTGAGCAAACTCTACAAGATAACATCCCCCTTTTTTTTACGTGTGGAAATCCCCTCGGACCGTCACCCCGCCGGGGTTTTCTATTCGGCGGGGCGGTCTGTCGGACTCGAACCGACTAAAACCACACGGTGTGCCCTCTTTGCGCTTCTATTTTTGGGAGGGGTCCAGGGAGTTATCGCCTTCTGGACCCCCCCCCCCCCCAGAAGATAATATCCCTTAGGTACACCAACTCATCTGGCTAAAATCTCCTTTCTAAGGAGAGGCCTATTGTCCAGCAGTGGACTATTAAAGGCTGTTGATGATTGATGAATAAGCTGTAGGTGCTTCATAAACTTTATATACTGTGAATATATTGCCATAGAGCGTGAGCGTGCAAATATTTCATATGAATTACCTTAGTTATGATGATGTGTGTAATACAATATTGTAGTTGCGTAAAAGCTTACATACATACGTAAAAGTGCAATATTAAGTCCCTATGTATATTAACTCCCGTGTGGTGACGGATTAAGAATACAGAATGTCAGCACCCCTATTCATCCCGTGGGTGTTGTAAGAGCTGACTTAGGGAAAAAACTACGCAGAACAACAGCACTGCAGAGAGAAGGAAAACTTGACACAAACCCGTCCGGCCAGCGTGGTATAGTAGGCCAAAACCTCCATTCTAAGGAGAGGCTTATGTCCAGCAGTGGACTGTTAAAGGCTGTTGATGTGATATGATGATTTATATTTCAGTATCGTTTAATCTGACAGACTAAATACGCTTAAAGGAATAGATTTGTTTTACCAAATAACCTCACATTAATTTTAGTTCAGAATTAAATTCAAAAGGGATATATTTCCTTCTCAAGTAAAAATGATTCTTAGGCATAAAAGAATAGTGTTAGAATTAGAGCACATTTTAAAACGATTTTAACGTCGCAATTCTCGTGATGACGACCATAGCTGTCATTAATCCGTATACAATTGGAAAATACACGACCAAATACTTATCTAAGTAATTTCTGAATTCAAACTTGATGACACTTATAAATGACATAACTAAAGATTACCTAAGTGTTTGAAAATTGTCAATTTTACAATTTTATACGAATCTAAGTTGTAATCTGTTGCATATCGATAGAGCGATGTTTTAAACGTCTAGTAAACCATTAAATTTATTATGAAACCTACAACTAAATTCTTCAGAGCATAATATTACTAAATTATATCCTTATACTTGCTCAAAAGCATATATTTTTTTACATTGGCTCCATATTTGGCCTGTTCTTGATGAAAAAGTATAAAAACGTATGTATTTTCTACGAAAGAGATTAGTGTTTTATAGTACTTCTAAATCAACAGCTTGTAGTATATTGGAAACTGAAATGTTTTAGATTATTTTAAAGTAGCTATTTCCCCAAAAAGTATGATTGCTAAAAGAAACTAATTAATAATAAGCGAGTAATCTTCTTAGTAATGGATGGCGTAGTGGTTTAAGCGGTCGCCACGCCGCTTCCTACTACGCCGAGTGTTGTGGGTTCAAACCCCACATGGGACGACACTTTGTGTGATCCACAAATTGTTGTTCTGAGTCTGGGTGTTATTTGTGTCCGTTTCATGTATGTTTGTAAAGTTCCCCGCGACACAGGATTTATTCCTAATGCGGGAGTTGTCTTTAAAAAAAAAAAAAAAAAAATTATAATTATCTATACAAATAAATAAAATTGGAGTGTCTGTTTGTAATATTAAAATAACCGCTTTTTATTAAATGCATATGTATGTTTACACGGTACATATGCCAAAATATCATTTTTTACAATTTTTGTCTGTCTGTCTGTCTGTTTGTTCCGGGTAATCTCTGGAACGGCTGGACCGATTTCGACGGGCAGATAGCTGATGACATAAGGAGTAACTTAGGCTACCTAACTAACTAACTTTTTAGACTAGCTTCGCCCCGCGGCGTTGGCCGCGGTTATAACAACAAACGCGGGTAACACCGCGGGTCTCAGGTAATTTTCTACAAAGACAACTCCCGAACTAGGAATATATTCTGTGTCGCGGGTGTGTTTACAAACATTTATATACACGGGCACAAAGAACAGACGTAGAACAACATTTGTGGATCAAACAGTGTTTTCCCATGTGAGGATCTAAACCATAACACTCAGCGCAATAGGAAGCGGCGAGGTGACAGCTTACGAGTATACCACTACGCCATCCGTGCAGTCAATAGATTAATACCTATCTAAGTTACGATTATGAACCGCGAATAGAACACCGCTCTAGCGACATGCCGCCCATACACAAGCCCCATAGCAAGTACACATCTGCACTTGCTCTTTAAAAACCGAAACGCGTTAAAAGAACGTTAATTACACTTGTTATTCGCACGAATAACACCTAATTGCGAAAATATTTCCGATGTACACTCAAATTGTATTCAAACTATTACAGACCATTCCTCTACAAAAAAAAAAACCTTAAAACAGCTACCAACAAAAACCCACAGTTTGGTTAATTGATCAGTTCAATTTGATTCTAGTATAATATTAAAAATAAGTGTTGCTAATGCAATGCATGCTACATCTTAAAGTACATCATGTGTATACATACTGTATTCCATTCCCAATTTAACGTTTTTACTTTTTTTATATTCAAATTAAAATCTATATCTATACAAATAAATAAAATTGGAGTGTCTGTTTGTAATATTAAAATAACCGCTTTTTACTAAATGCATATGCATGTTTACACGATACATATGCCAAAATAACATTTTTTAAAATTTTTGTCTATGTCTGTCTGTTTGTTCCGGGTAATCTCTGGAACGGCTGGACCGATTTCGACGGGACTTTCACTGGCAGATAGCTAATGACATAAGGAGTAACTTAAGCTACTTTTTTTAGACAAGCTTCGCCCCGCGGCGTTGCCCGCGGTTATAACAACAAACGCGGGTAACACCGCGGGTCTCAGCTAGTTAAAAGTAGGCTAAGTATGACGTCACGCTTCAGCATTTCATACACAACTATACTGCATCTATCGATTTGCCGGTTAATATCAAAATACTAATTTGACTTTGAGGAGAGGAAGAAGAATCGTCTACCCCGATATCAATAGTTATAAATGCCGTGTATCCCGAATGTATGAAAAACTACGATATGAACATAGCTGTTGTAAACGGAGTGAAGTGTGCTGAATTAAAACATTATACTTTTATTGTCTGAAAGTTATTACACGTTTATTTATTGTTTGTAAACTATTTCAGCAGCACAATGTCTAATTATTATTTAAACCATCATCATCAACAGCCTTTAATAGTCCACTGCTGGACATAAGCCTCTCCTTGGAAAGGAGGTTTTGGCCTACTATACCACGCTGGCCAGACGGGTTGGTATAGGGTTTGTGTCAAGCTTTCCTTCTCTCTGCAGTGCTGTGCATTTAAACCAATATTTATTTATCCTAGACTACCGTATTAGACGCGTTTTTACGGAAGCTTTCATACACAAGAGATGGTTCTTCTTGCTCAGTCCATACGAACGACGCATGATTCACAACTGACTGCTAAAGTTTAAAAAAAAATACTTCTAGGTACCCACAATATATTACAGTAGTTAAAATATTCAAACCATGAATGAATTCGAGTCTGTCTGTTAAAACAATGGCCGATGCAATCAATGCAATGTTAGGAATTATAATTATTATTATTATGTAGTATTAATTATTTGTTTTATGTTATTAAAATGATAGTTATGAAAGGTCGAATCAATGTTTTATGTCGGTTGGGTGCATAGGTTAGAAAAGTCATGCAAGCTTATAATTAATTTATTATATTTAGTGTTCTATAGAAGTTTTTATTTTGACAGTTATCCAAATTTATATTTTTATTATATAAGTTGGGATAAACTGAAAAAAAAATACTAAGAGAACATGATATTTCTTATCTGAGTAACTTTTTGGATTTAAATTTGTATATTTAAATTGAATATAATTTATATAAACATTTTTTTTTATATATTTTAAATTCAACGTTATTTTGTTTTTACTTTAAAATTTTGACGGTTTTTTAACACAGTCATAAGCTTAGGAATCATATTATTTTCTGGTGCTTTTACACAATTTCCAAACACAACACTCTAGGTATTTTTTAATAAATAATTATGGTGTGTTCGGTAAATGTGATTATTATAAATTGCTTAGCATGGAGACAGGAAAAAATCGGCCTTTAATTTTTTTTGTAGCTTATATCAATAGAATAAAAGAAATAACGTTTAAATCGTGATCAACTTTCCGAACTGTAAACGAATTTGTTAATAAAATAAATAAATATTTATATTTACGTTAAGTTATTAAAAATTAAAGGCTCGATAATTAAATCAAATTATTTACGTAGGAAAATACAACTTAATATCTTCATTTTTAGACATATTTTCCGATATAGACCCGGGTCTAATTAATGCTATTTGTACAACAACCCTTACGACTGTTAATGTTAAAATATCATGTTATCTCAGCTTTAGTGTGTAGTGGGGTGAATATTTCCACACACCATGATTGTTAAGACGATTACTGTAATGAGACTTTCTGTGCCCACCATCAGACGCCGCGCCTGCCGCTCCCTGTGAAACAACAAAAAGAAATTGGTTAGAAGAAAACTTAACGATTTAAAAAAATAATAACTTGTAATTAAGTAAATTAATCATAGGTATAGGCAGGTAGGTTATTTCACAGAAACCAATTAACATACTGAGTGTATGATTGATATTATTGATATTAATATCTATTCTATACAAATAAATATAATTGAAGTGTCTGTATTGTCAAAATAATAGGTTATTTTCATGCCCACACGGTTATTTGCACGATACCTATGCCTAAAAACCAGTTTAAATATTTTTGTCTATCTGTTTGTTCCGGGTAATCTTCAAAACGGCTGGACCAATTTTGATAATATTTTACTACCGGGTAGCTGTCTATATAAGGAGTACCTTAGGCTATAAAATTTTGCCCGGTCCGGAAATCGAACCAACTAAGGCGGCGCTTTTCAAATATCACGCGAACGAAGTCGCAGGCACCAGCTATTTTAATCTCTATGAATACTATGAATTAATATTTTAGATACACCCAATTTCATTTTCTTCTATTTTCGTTTTAATAGGGGTACAATTTTAAAGTATAGGTACAATTTATTACATTTTATGTGTAATTTGCTTGTACTATATCAGATTGGGTTCGTTATGGTACACCCGCCATTTTGACTCTCACTTACAGTGGTACAGAGAAGATATGGGATCGAAACAAGAATTGCAGCGCGAACAAAGTCGAGTGCAAAAGCAGGTAATAATATACATCGTAACTATAAAAAGAGAGAGAGTTTAGGGAGGAGGCTCAGAAAACAGAATGGTGCTCCTAGCCTCCCACTTTAAATAGATATATCATCTTAAAAAAAAAAACTGTTTTGGCTTGGCAAAATGGCTTTAAAGTTATAAGGAGCGAAGATTTGGACCTTCTTAGATCATCACTGTCTTTAACTAATTTCGATGATGTTCTGTATGTTTTGTGTATTATTATAGATATTGCATTGTAATCTTAGATGCAACTGTCCCTTACCGTGCCGTGGCAACTTGTAAGTAAGACAACACTCAGAAAATAATTGTAAAACATGTTTGTAAATTATGAATTAGTGTATGTTTTGTAAGTTATCCTATATAAATAAATAAATAAAGATACAAAAGCCTCATGCGAGTTACAGGATTCTGACCTGATATTACGTAAGTGGGACTAAAGTAAAATGGGCAACATGTAGGCGTTCATTCCAGCAGTATGTATATAATTATTTTAGAATTCAGTAATGAATTCAATATATTTTAATGTACATACTAAGCAGTAAGCTTTTATCTATTACACATTACATTGACGGCCGCATGGCTTAGTGGTTTGTGTGACGAACTGCTACGCCAAAGGTCGCGGGTTTTATTCCTGACCAAGTCAAACATTTGTGTGCATGAATATTTAATGTTTGATTTGGTCTGGGTGTTTCTATGTATAATATGTATGTATGTATTTACAAAAAAAGGGATATGTATTTATATCAGTTGTCTGGTACCAATAGTACAAGCTCTTAGTTTGGGACTAAACATTGTGTGAATGTGGTAGAATATTATTTTTATTCGCAGTAATAAATAAAAAAAGAATAGAAATAGACTCTAATATTTAAAAGTCTATTCACTTTGTAGTTTGTAGCTTATGAACTTAATAATATAGAGTTCATCCATCTGATTATGTTCTTATGTTAAGTTTATGAAAGCTTTTGCATTGACAGACCTTTTTAATTTCCAATTTCGGTAAGTCTGTCTACATTTATTTATTGGATTCATTAGAAATGTTATTATTAATTTGACTGCACGGATGGCGTAGTGGTTTAAGCGGTCGCCACGCCGCTTCCTACTACGCCGAGTGTTGTGGGTTCAAACCCCACATGGGACGACACTTTGTGTGATCCACAAATTGTTGTTTTGAGTCTGGGTGTTCTTTGTGTCCGTTTCATTTATGTTTGTAAAGTCCCCTGCGACACAGGATTTATTCCTAATGCGGGAGTTGTCTTTTTTTAAAAGAAAAGTAAAAAAAATTATAATACTTTATACTATACTTTATATAAATTCTAATATGATGCTGAAATTATAACTTATCACATCTTACACACGGCCACCTGATTCTAAACTAAGCTGTGAGCATGTACCATGAAAACCAGACTGCTGATAAACATACTTATATATTTCTAAATTTACAAATATTTTAATTTAACAACACCCAGACAGAATAAATGACTACCTGATCACCATACAATATTTGATCTTGATAGGAATTGAAACAACGGCCAGGCCTGGTTATCAAGATCTCTAACAAGAAGACCATTAGTCCAAACAAATATATAAAACATTTTAATACAAAATGATTCTCACCTCGCGCCTCTCAATGGTGTAGTAAGCGTCCTCTTCGTTGGCTGCTTCTCCCACCTCCGGCGCCGGCTTGCCCGTCCTGTACTTGCTCTTCTGGAAGGTCATCTTCAATGAACTCCTATGCTTTTTCTTATCACCGCCTCTATTCAACTTTATCACAGTTTTTAATGTTCCAGTGTAATCACCAGATCCGGCTTTTGCCTTATTCTTATTACCCATGTAGTAACTAGACCCATATATCCTTTCTTTTTCCTTTTGCTTTTCTATTTTAGCTTCCTTTGCAGCTTTGTGAGTCAACAGACCAAGAGTTCTGAGGACACTTTCTTTGTGCTTCTGACTTTCTGGTGTTTCATTAAGAGCGTTACTTGGCCCTGGTTGAGATTCTATTGAGTTGCGCGCGGATTTAGGTTTAGCACTCCTAGTTGGTTTGGTTTCTTCAACTACCTTTGCTTCCACAGCTATTGACTTGCCTTTGGCAACTTCCTTCACTTCTTTAGTCTCTATTAGCATATCGACTGGCTTGGCATCTTGCTTCTCTACTGTTTCCATTTTCCCTTCTTCATTCTTATCTATCTGCATTTCTTCCACTTTTGACTCAATTTCTGGAGTTACAATATCAGTCTTTTCATCACCCACTACAGGAGTTTCGACAGTCTCTTCCTCATTATTAGGTGATTTGGTCAATTTAGCGCTTTCAACTTGGGATACCTCTGAAGCCACAACGTCTTCAGTTCCTTTTATATTTTCAAGAGAAGGTGGTAAAGCTTCTGTTACGACTGGTTTCACTTCGGGAGATCTAATGGCAACAGGTGTTACTTCTGGTGACTTAATATCGACCGGAGACACTTCGGCGTCCGTAATTGAGACTGGCGTTATGTTTGCAGACTTGATAGCCACTGCATTCTCTTCAGTGGGCTTATTAACAGTCGCCGTCAATTCAGCAGGCTTGTTGACAATTGGTGTCACTTCTGCGGGATTATTGACGGTCGGGATTACTTCGGTAGACTTAATGGCCACTGGTGTAACTTCAGAAGGTTTAACAACAGTTGTTGTCACTTCGGAAGATTTAATAGTGACTGGCGTAGGCGTGATAGAAACAGAAGATGACACATTATGTACTGAAGTAATTTTCTCAATAGTTGCCATTTTGTCATCAATGTCATTTGTGGACTCGGATGATTTCCTAGACTTGGATTCTCTTGATTTCCTCTTAGTAATGATCTGGACATCATTGGTTTTCTTAGACTCGAGCACTCGAGGTGTTATTGATATCTGATTGGAGTCTAGATTGCTGACTAAGCTTTGTGAAGTGTTTGGATGAAGTGTCGCAAAGTGGTGCAAGTCCACTTGCATCGACGATTCCCGTACCGGTTGTGGAATAGATTTGTCAGCAGATTTTCTTATCTCTGTTAAAGTAACATCCTTGCCAAGGGATTTCTCAAATATAGTGATAGCATCTGAAGAGTGATTTGAGCTGGTAGACTCCTTTCTTGAGCTGAAACTATTCCGTTTTATCAAAGTGACCGAGTTAGGCAAGTCCACATCTATGGACTTCCTTACTTGGTCCCTCTTGACTATTGAAATAGCAGAGTTGTTTTCAAAGCAACTCAAAACATTCTCTTTTTCCATCAGTTTTTCTGGTGATCTAACTGATTGAATGTTTTTAAGTGGCTTTATATCACCAGACTTTGGTATAAGAACGACGTCGCTCGTCACCATCACAGTTTTGCCATCATTAACTTTAGACTCCAACTGTCTTCTCTTATCAAATTCTTCAAACTCCTTGAGCCTGTCCATCAGTTTATCAATACTGGCGACTGGGCTGCATTTATATGTAACTTCATGTTTTGCGCCTTCCATTGGTTTATCCACCGAGTCTTCCTCATAATGGAGGCGAATATTTTCACCATCATCCTTTGAGGGTGTGTTTTCATTACTGAAAGGAGATATAATATCTTTCTCTTTTACAGGAGTATCAGGTGAAGGTGCATTATTCCCATTCACAGATTTGGCTAAGCCATAGAATTTGGTAACAGTCTTTGTTTGTAATTGTTCAGGCATGCTTTCAGTACTGTTAGGATTTGTGTTAGCATCCATTTCACGGTCTCCATCTATATTTTGATCTAGGTTGTTGATGAGATCATTGATCTCTTTGGTGAGAGATTCTATTGTTTCGTTACCACCGTCGGCGTTATCAGCAGTGTCGGCAGTGACGACTTCGTCTGCAGCGGCAGTGGCAGGGTTGTTGGTGGAGTTAGCAGTAGTGGGTGCAACAACAGTCTTAGTCGACACTGCCCGCGGTGCTATAGCCAAAGTCCTAGGCGCCATTCCCACTTTCCGCCCCCGCCGTGCTTTCCTTATATTCTTTGACATTTCCTTTGAGTTAAATGTCTTGGACATACTGGTCAATATACTACTACGAGCTTCAAAAAGTATTTCAGGATCTGTAAGATCAGTCTTTGATAATGATTTCCCCTCTACACCTGTTGAATTTAAATTCTCTAATTTAACCCTATTACTATTATTGTTATCAGAGTCCAATGAAGTACTTCTTTTTAAGCTCAATTTTTTCTTATTCTTGGCATTTACATTAGAACTAGGCTCTGCATCCTGTTTGGTTTCAGCTAGTTTGGAGTCAATTTGCGAAGGCACTTTTTCAATAGTCGAGATCTGTACATTATTTTCAATTTCTATATCTAGGTCAGTCTTAGATTTATCTAGTTTTTTGTTGAGCTCCTTACTGTTGTCTGTGTCATTGAGTGTTTCACTCATACTCAAGTCTGACTCAGTGTTATCTGAACACTTAGAGATCTCACTGCCATCACGAGAGCATGAGCGTCCTCTTTTGACTTTCTTACAGTCTTCAGGAGTTTCTGCAGTGTCTGAAGTCTTAGAATCAGAGTGCAGTCTACGTCTTTTCTTTTGTTCTTTTATTACAACTTCACTAAGTAAGTTGTTTTTGACTTTCCTAGGTTTCCCACTCCGCAAGTTCTTTCCTTCAAAGAGAGAAGGGCTATTGCTTCTCTCAGAGCGCATTGAGTAGGGGCTAGTACGAGAACCTAGAACTAGAGTGTTTGGGGAATCACCAAGCATTGTCTTCATCATGACCAAGTCAGAACTAAGTCTCTGTCTTCTACCAGCTGTTTTGGGACTCGAGGACCTAGAGTTGGGAGTGGTATCGTCAATTGGCTCTTTCTTGATCTCTGATGCTGGTATCAGTGGGACGGTTTCCTTGTCTTGTGAATTTGTAGTGTTATCAAACTTCAAAGCAGCCTTCCTACCTCTCTTCACAGTCTGCTTGATAACATTCTTGACTTTTTCCTTGGCTGCAAGAGCTTTTGCTTGCTTACTTCTCAAAGTCTTCCTAATGCCTAAAGGTCGCTTCTTTCCAACTGTTTTAGGCTTGGCTACTGGTTTCTTTGAGTCTTTGGATGTTTTCGGTTCATCTTGACTGGATTTTTTGTCTTCTTCAATGATATCAGAAGCCTTCTTACGGGCACGAGTCTTAGGTTCTATTATAGTGTCCTCATCAATACTCTTATCCAATTCTTCCTTAGATTGTTTAGTTTTCATGTTGGAATGTGTGGTGGGAGATGATCCCGTTCTGCCGACATCAGGTAAGGGCTGGCTGTCAGCTTTGCTCCTGTTAGTCGATCTATGACTGATCAACGAGATGGCCCAAGCCTTAAGTGAAGTGTAGCTTCCGGAGACTGACTGCCTCTATCTATGCCCTATGTGGTAATGTCAGTTATGTGTCTTTAGGACAGTTATCACAATCACTATGGTCTTTACTTATAAGTGTAATTTGTTTCACTGTCTTCTTAACTTTTATGTAGGATTGACCCTGAGCCATAATACATCTTTATCACATGCCATCTGGACCTGGAAACCAAGAAACACACGTTTAATCTCACTTTAAGAACTTAAAATTAGCAACGTGGTGTTTAAATCACTTGTTGAACGACAATCAAAATAAATCCTAACTTTATAAGTTAAATCAGGGTTTCATCAAATGAATTGCACTTGATACAGTAAATTAAACACACTGAACCCGCAATTGTGGTATAATTTGGCACAATTCACATATAAATTGTGTCTACAGGTCGTGGTAAACAAAAGCCAACGCTCAGTAATCAACAAGTTCGCTTAATTATATTACAATATATTCACATATTAATTGCTTTTCTACGATTTATTTTGAAATACTAAGGTATAGATATTACGAATATGCATCAAAATAACTTTTAAACTGTCCCATTAATTATAAAATCGCGCCGGAAAATTCATGAAAAACTCGATGTTTTGGTGGCTAGGCCGCGGGTGACACCTAACGCCACCTACAGCTGAGCAAGTGCGTATGCGTCGAGCGAACGAAAGCACCAAATCATTTCCCCAGCCGTGGCGCACCTCTGCAATGTCCTCACAAAATACTCACAGTTTATCCAAAGGAATCTCCAAAAATCACAATAAACAGTTAATTGGATACACAACACACCATAATATGCGAAAAAGTTCAATATAAACACGCGATTAAACTTCGAAAACGATTTTTGAAAAGCCCGAATGACTGCAGGCGTCCGCCATAATGTTTCCTTCGAAACGAATAATATAGTTCTTATTGCTCTTGTAGCAATTCTCTATTCGCTATTCAAAATGGCGACCGTGTTGCGATCACAGTGCGCGTTTGCGCGACTTTTTGTTGGAAAAACCGGACAAATCCTGAACAACGCAATTGATTTGGGTGTAAAACTTGCTCCGGAACCACAATCGGTAATTATTTTATTATATTTTCACTCGCGTCGAGTCGTAATGTCGCTTTGACCGCGACATGTGACAGAACTATGGGTGTACACCACTCCGCAGAGGTTTCTCGCGACTTCATACTCTTGTCACTAATTTATTTTCAGAATGACATTGATTGATGAGTCGGTTAAGTGATGATTACTGATAATTTAATTTATGTTGTTAAGTTTCTAACTAAAAAGTCAATTGCGAAATAAAGAGATATCTTTTAAATTAATGTTATTATATAGTTTAGTGACTTGAAGGTTACATTATCAGATTTATTACTTTATAAGTTAATAACATTGTATCTTTTTGTTTCAGGCATTGCTGTCCAAAAATTACTCAAACTACGCCCATTCACCTTTTGTCACCAAAATAAAAAAAGAACAATATGAATACGAAATCGTGAAGAAGCCACCAGAGTGGACATACGTGGAAAGATTATTGCCATTCAACACAATACCTGCAGTTACTCCTAAGGAGACTTATCCTTCAGGTTGGATTCCGCCTCGGGAAGAAGCCAAAAATCTGCCCTTCTTCTTGCCAAGGACAAAATTTCATGACTTACCAATATATTTACATGTAACCTACAGGGGTATGCGTAAAATATCTAAAATTAAAAGAATTGAGGGGGATATATGGTTGTTAAATGATGAAATAAAAAAATATTTGAAAGAAAAAAATAAGAGATACGTAGAAACCCGTGTGCAAGAAGTTGCTAGATTCATAGAAGTAAAAGGTGATCACGTGAATTATTTAATTGAATGGGCACATACCAAAGGTTTTTAGGTTATAACTCGATCACTGGAAGTTATCGAAATACACTGATTTAGTAGACACCTTGGTTTTATTTTCCCTGTATAGCACCATACTAATTACTTGCAATAATTGCTCTTTAAGTAATGATCATACTTAATAATGGGTACTAAGTAGGTACTTACCCATTTCTCTTAGTCATAACAAAAAAAGGATTGCATTATTTCATTAACTACGATATTCTTTTTTACATTGTAATTTTTAAAAATATGCAGAATTAAGTAAAGACTTAGGTCTAATAAATTATTACTGACTAATTTGGTATGGATTTTTTTTTCGAGTTAAAGTCAATTAATTCGTTGTGTTTTTTTTTAAATCTGCAAGCATACTGTTTATTATAAGACTAATAATTTATTTAGTCAAGTTTCCTTCGGGCACATGTTCATGCTCTTTTTTCTATATTTACTCGTTTATTAGTGTTGTGATCTAAAATTTGAACTATATTCACATTACAAATAGAGAGAGAGTTGAGAGTTTGTACATAAATTAATGAAAACTACATACCTGAACTACACCTGTAACTGTTGAGTTGATTTTAAGACTAACTTATATTATTGCTTAAAAAGGCAATTTGAATACTAATAATCTTTTGTAATAATGAACTTCTGAAAATAATTAACATATAGATATCATTAAATAATCATGCTCATTATCAAAATGTATAATATACATAACTAGAAAGATAAAAGTTCAGATTTGCTTAGATTTTGAAAGTGACACTTAGATTTAAATATAAAAAAATATTTTTTATTTACATTTGAATCGTACGTATATTGAACATACTTACCTTTTTCACTGTATTTTTATAAATATATCAAGTGTTAATGTCCAATTTAATAATAATAAAACTTTTGAAATTCCCTTGCAAAATAAATGATATAAATATATTTAAGTCAACGCAAATCTGTCAAAACCTGTGCGGAGGACTGTACACGGCATGAAGTTTGTTTATTTCGGCCACCGCTAGGGGCGCTGTGTACGGCGGAAGGTTTTATCTACGTAGCTATATAACATCCGCCCGAGTCTGATGGGCCTCTCCACGATACATATTTTCGAGACGAACCCACTCGTCTTTGTTAAAAACAACTTTTCTGCACAATATACACGTTCAAAAACGCTTTGGCACGCTTTTCGCATCTCAACTACGCTCACATTACACGTTATAACTTTTAGGTTACTTTTATTACCAATAACTTTGTTGTCGAACGTTAATTTCTTTATATATTTACGTAATTGACTCTGTTATCGTTAGAAAACTTTAATTCAAGTCGTCATTTCATAACATTTGAGCTAATCTGGGATCGATGTTGAGCATTTACGGTAAAATTACGTAAGATGATAGGTAGGTACAATACAAAGTATGTTACATAGTTATAATGATTTTCAAGGCCAAGCGCTTTCAGAAATTGACACGTGTACGCTGTATGTATTACGAGTGCACAATAATCAATATTAAATGTAAGCGAGGGATGGTTTCTAATCAACGTTTGTCGAATATTATCACGCCATATTGGTTTTAATGCAATGAATTTGCATCACAGGTTTTATTTTATTGCAAATAGGTTTACTAAGTGTATCTTAATTATACATTGGTTTGTTCTTTGTTTAATTATATTTTGTTCGTGTCTTAGATTCTATAACGGCACTTAGAAACATTTATTTTGTTTATTTTATTTTATACTCGATAAAACGTTAAATCCTTGACGAATTTTGTTAGTAGAGTACCTACGTAGGTAGGTATTGATCGAATAAGTTACTAAGCTACTACCTACGGCTACAGTGTTTACATAAAAAGTGTAGGTAGGTACTACCTACTAGACTGGAAGCGATTTGTAAATTTCAGAATCATTTTGTTATTAAAATCTAAGTATATAAAAGTATGGTGTAGTTATAAATAGTTTTTCGCAATGTCCACGATATTTGAAACAAATGATTAAAGACGTGTTAGTATCGTGACTTACCTATATACGAGTATACCTACCTACCTATTTCCTTCTGCACATCATTGTTAGGGCTTCATTTAAGGGTTGCAGATCAAGATAATTTTGGTAATATTGCCGCGTAAATCGATCAATTTCAATAAAAAGTTGATAATAAATATATCGATAAATAAATAGACGAATTGCAGTTTTCTATAATTGAGTTGTAATGTCAATTTGACATAATTATCATTAATTTATTTGTAGAAAGGCAAATTATTTATGTCTGAATTCCAGTCATAATAACAATAAATGATAAAAACGGTATTGTTGTTTGAGTTTAACACAACATTTATACGAGACATTTTTACGTGGGTATTTCTGGCAAATATTAAAAAAGGTACACTTATATAGGTATATAAATATATTGGAGGCCTTGGGTGAGTTTCCTTTGCCCTTTTGTCCTATGTTTTGGTATACGGACCTAATTATTTACGTTCTTTAATACTTTAGCTCTAAATACGTATACTGCTATAATTACATAGGTAGACTCTAAAACCACAATGTTAAAGGCTGTGGGTTAGTTGTGTATTATACCTACATAATTTTAATTTTTATTGTGAGTTTTAGATTTTTAATTTCATCTTCCATTCGCTTGAAATATTGCTCGGTGTTTCGTGTCTTCGTTTAAGGCGTAAGGACCGGAGTTAGGAGTGAATCCTCTTTAGATTTATAATGATACGTCAAAAATGTTAAGTGTCATTTTCTTTATCTATGATGTGGGATCTTGTACAATCTTTTGTCATCCTTGTATAAGTACATTATAGATTTTGTAGGGCTTACATCAATCAAGTGATACCTACTTGGTGTAAAAACAACTGAAATTAACCCTACCTAACCGATTACGGTTGTTTGTTGCTGGATACAGTACGATTGTAAAATAAATAAAAAAAAAAACGAAATATTTAGTCACTTTAGTCACGGAATATGACTATTATAAACAAGGTGGGTACAGGTCTAGATTTTTTTTAGTCAATCAATATTGTATTCGTAATTTGACTTAATAATATTATAATTTTTTAATTCCTGGAATACCTGGGAAGGTCCATAATGTTTCTAACACAAAGCTCCTATTACTCCCAAGAAGAAGAAATACTTAAAAATATTTTACATACTCTCCAGTATTTCATAGTTTTATAATGAAGATAATGCATCATGAAATTAAATATAATATGAACAACGGATTAAGAATACGGAGTGTCACCACGATTTTTTTTTTTTTTTTCCGTGAGGAGTGTCACCACCCCTATTCATTCCGTCGGTGTTGTAAGACCCGACTAAGGAAGCAAACTACGCAGGACAGCAGCACTGCAAAGAGAAGGAAAACTGAACAAAAACCCTATACCAACCCGTCTGGCCAGCGTGGTATAGTAGGCCAAAACCTCCTTCCAGGAGAGGCTTATGTCCAGCAGTGGACTACTAAAGCCTGTTAATGATGATTATGAACAGATAGCAAATGAACAAACGAATCTATAATAATAGTAACTATTTTCCACGTTTCGCTCTCGTGATTTTATCGTATTCCGTGTTTCTAACTTTGAAAAAAACATACTTTCATACATCCCTTATTTTACGCCCTTAGGAGTGAAATTTCAGAATATCCTTTCTTTTGTGAGTGCTTACAGAATAAAAAACATCAGCTGGATAAATTTGAATTTTGTTTCTTCAGCGGTTTATTCTCTGCGTTGATAAATCAGTCAGTCAAGTCTAATAATCTATACTAATATTATAAAGCTGAAGAGTTTGTTTGCTTGTTTGTTTGTTTAAACGCGCTCAGGAACTACTGGTCCGATTTGAAAAATTCTTTCAGTGTTAGATAGCCCATTTATCGAGGAAGGCTATAGGCTATATATCATCACGCTAAGACCAATAGGAGCGGAGCACCAATGAAGAATGTTTCAAAAACGGAGAAAATTCATTACTATTGAGAGACGCAGACGAAGTTGCGCGGGTCAGCTAGTCTTATATGTATAGATTATTGGCTTTTGCCTGACTCCACCCGCGTATATGTCGGTTATCGCGGTAAAAAGTGTCTTATGAATATAAGTATCTCCAAACCAAAGTTCACCTAAATCGGTTCAGTGGTTCTTGATTCCCTATACAAACTTTCACCCCCTTTCCACCCAATTAAAAGGATGATTTCTAGGATAAAAACTACCCTATGTCCTTTCCAGGGACTCGAACTATCTCTATACCAAATTTCATCTAAATCTGTTCAGCGGTTTAAGCGTGAAGAGGTAACAGACAGATAGACAGACACACTTTCGCATTTATAATTAGTATTCATTAGAATGTATTTTGCACTTTTAAAAACCTATTGCTGACTTTAATGCGCCTAAATCCCTCCCTTATTTTTCCACTCTTACAGGTAAAATATTTTGTAAAAAATTTAAGCGATCGTAGGTTCCATGGATTCTATTAAAAAATAATTATTTAAATTAGTTCACAAGTAGCTAAAATCTATAGGAATGTTATAAAACTAAAGAATTTCTTTGTTTGGTTAGCTCTAATTTCAGGAGCTACTGGTACGATTTGAATGAAAAATTCTTTGAGTCAGTCATTTATCTAGGAAGACCATCACTAATAGGGTCGAGAATCAATGAAAAAATGGAGGAAATGTAGTCCTTTTGAGAAACGCAGGTGAAGTTGCATGGGTCAGCTAATCTCTTCTTCTTCCTCCGAGCCTTTTCTAAAACTAGGTAGAGGTAAGTCTACTACGATACGTCTGAACTTCGATTTTTTACACGGAGCGATAGCCATCAGACCTCCACAACTCAAGAACTACGCGATCTCGAAGTTCTGTAGATAGACTATCGGGCTTTTTATAGCTCCAACTATCTAGGCCTGGGGGTGACAGGTGAGGCCATCTGTCACCCTAGCAGAAGCAGGGCGGGGTTGCGGCGAGCGCATAGCGAAGCGCGCTCGCTTCCAGGGAGCAGAGGAAACATGGGGTTCGCACACGGAGGGTGGGGGGGGAGGGGGTCGTCTACTCGT